ACACACATTTGTAACAAGCGGTCACGGTGTATGATTTCGCATCCAGCCGAGTAAGTGCTACACGCGTATTTAAAGACTTAATTATGTGTTACTTTTACTTAACTACACGCGAACTATATGTAAACGCTAATAATCCGAAATAGAGAAACCACATGTACGATAGACAATATTGTTTGCTTAAAAATATAAATGATAATACTATGAAAAATAGTTTTTTACAGCTAAATGGAAAGGCCCAAGGAAGAAACAGGTGTTTTCAACATATATATTCACATCACGACCCTTCTAGTGCAGGGACATCAGATCCCTCGACAAGGCCCTTAAACGATAAGTTTATCTCCTCGGGGTTAAAAGGGGTTAACTTATTCAACGACAAACACAGAAGCTTTTAAAATCGGTACACTTGACAGCCGAAAATAAAATAATGGTAATATCGAAATAAAACTAAAATATATTACCAATTCAAAGTGTTTGAAAAAAAAATAAAATGTCGAAGACAAAATATGTTCTAACATTTTATACTTACATTCCATTAGAATAGGTACAAACACTAGTGAAGGTCTTTTATATTAGGTCAAAAAACAAAACTGCAAATAAACATCGAATAATTACACATTATAATGCCTTTATAATATAAAGTTTGGTCGGACCACGTGAGTTTTTTTCGTTAAATAAACTAAAAGTAGGTGTAATAAACTTCACAACAGTACACATGTACATACTAATATTATATAGGCACCAGTTCTCGAATGTTTTTTAACAGAGGATATACGTGATTATATGCGGTGTGAATGTCGAGACTTGTGATGCGCTACTGGTTTGTTTTTTTATGATCTATACACATGTGCCGGCCACAACAGGAATGAGCATCGAATGACAATTAGGTCTCAAGTCAGTTTTCCGGAACTCGGCGCACGTATGACTGACGATTGTTACATATATTCATTCTTCTCTCTAAATATATATATATATATATATATATATCTATGTGTGTGCGTATGTGTATATAGCTTTTACTACTTCCTATCCTTAAACTTGACATTATCATCGACGAAAACAAAATAAAAAATATCATTCCGCACGTTTTTTCGACGCGAACAAATGCGCTTAACATGTTTAAATTACTTTTGCTGAATCATATGTTTTGTATGGGGGAGGGGGGCATATTATATAATTTCATTATTAATATAATCATTACTTAGTTAGTATAAAAGTTAGTTATTAGTACAAAAGTACCATGTACAATTCCTAATATAGGGTTGGACAGCTAAAAAAACAGTACTACATATAGAAGTTTCACTTATAAATATGTTTAGGACAAAATTAATAAAAATATAACAACCATTTTAACATATTGTATCGAAATAAGCCAAATGAAAATTAGTTACCTATAGGCACCATACTACAACTTGTAACACTTATAATAATGAGGCTAAGAATAACACATTTACCAATGCAAAGTGACATAACAGACAACAAAGACTGTCCAAGCAAAATTATTTATAGAAAGCATCTTTGTACTTACTGTCTCCACATTGTCTGTCAAGCTTATTTGATTTTGATTCCTAATTACTCAACCCAATTTTAAAACGGAGCGAAATAAAATCGTTTGCCTTATTTACAATAGCAGTAACATAGCCAAAAGTTACAGCAAACGTATTGTGTAAATAATAAATAATGTTTATTTTATAAAATCAATTAATGGTAACCAGTAAAATAGTAAGATTTATTAAGAAAACAATCGTAAAATAAAATAAAAGCTATTAATTATCGTCAAGTAATGCCAATAATACCGATAATATTGGACTGGAATTAACTAACAGTTTTAAGTTTTGTTCATACTAAACCTGATCAAAACAATATTATATTATATATTATACTCCAGGTACAATATTTTTATAATATTAAATTTAGATACAAAGTCATTATTATATTTATACAACGATATCTACATATTAGGAATGTATTTATCAGTTTTTAGTTCAGATATATGGAAACCGGAAAACGATTGTAATATAATTATGCCTACACTAGAGGCCATGAGTAATGCATATTATTAGGAAAAACGTATGACTAAAATATACGAATATTTATCGTTAATCGTCAAAACCGACTGGTTTACTCTATTATTAGATACCTACTACTTTATTATAGTATATACATAGATCTTATGCTAGCCGTAATGGTATAATTGAGTTGTTCTTCTAGTTCCATAGAGTAAATAAAAAATAAACCATTGATCATAATGTTAATGATCGATGATGATGATAATAATAGCGGTAATTAATTTAAACAACACACCTAAAAAAAACATCACACGAATTATAAATGAAAAAAAAACCAATGACATACGCAAGCCTTATAGTAATAAATAATAATTATACAGTTCACAGCTAATGAATGAAACGGAACGTTTTGAATGGAAAGCAGTAAATGTTTAGCACCCCTGAATATGCATGGAAATGAATCATCAGCTAGACGTCTAACGGCCAAGGCAAACATGAGATGAACAGACCTCTCGGCGATAGAATGTCGTGTCGATAAGAAGATATTCATTTAAACTGTTTGCGTTGACGTATACAATGGAAATCGCGTGAAATGTGATATAAGGCAATTTATTTCAGGATAAAACACACAGTTTGCCAGTAATTGTTAAAACCCGAAGCAAGGTCCGGTGGTGTATCTATTGTGTCAACGTACGTTTATTTATGCAGCAGATTGTGGCTGCGTTGGTGACCCGATTCAATGCAGGTTATACTCATGTGTTGCATGGGCGTCAATATTACCCACACACGAGTCTCGGTTCAGTTTTGGAGACGGAAAATGTGAATCATAAGTACAAAAACAATTTCAACGGTTCAGTTCATGTGAAAAACGTGCGTGTTTCGAAGGAGGTGCATTCTTTTGCACCGAACAATTTCGAGTATTATTATTATCATACAATATGTAATACATTTCTGAAACGAACAACATATGGAAAATATGCCGAGGCCCCAAAGGATGCGAAATAATAATAGAATATAATACACTCAACGTTTCCCGAGACGGTTTATTCATAACATTAATAATTAAGCATGCCTCTTTAAAAAAACATCTGCATTTGTCACAATGTATTAACCATTAATTGTTATACATTTTCTAGAATTTCTCTCCTAGTACCAAGAAATTTGACAAAACAAAGGAAAATAATGTGTAATTATTGTATTAATCGAACATTGCATGTTAACTATTGGAAAAAAATAAACGCTTCGCGAACGAATAAGATTTGCGAAGTAAATTAAAACCATATTTTTAACTAACAACGTGGAGTATAACTTATCTAGCATACCTCAGACATCGGTGCATGCTTACATGGCCTATTATTAATCGGCTTAGTCACATTATAAGAGTTTCGCAATACAATTTACTCATTAACAACACAGGAACCTTAAAATATAATTATATCAAATGAAAAATAATATTGTTTAAATACGAAGTTTTGTGTGTCACAGATAAAATAAATTCAAAACTAAAAATTTGGTTACCTCTCAGTTCCTTTAGGCTATTTGTTTTAATGACAATAAGATAAAAAAAATGATAACTATTAGATATGTCATATAATGTATGTTAAGAATTTTAATAGAAGTTTATGGAACATAGTAAACAAGGTCTTAAACTAAACAACTAAAAAGCTGAAAAAACATTTAATTAAAAATTAACTTTGACGTTTTTTTAAACGTGTCCATAAAAAACTAAACCAATTACATGATTTTTTTTTTATAGAAATAATAGCGTTTATTTTAAAAATTTACAATCTGAGTAAAATAATAAGTAATCAGATGATTTAGTATGTGCAACCGCATACATATGGTATGGACTGATAAAATACATTTCGAACTAGTTTTTATTATTATTACATGTATTTTGTTTAAAACAAAGAGATAACACGTGCGTGTATTTTGTTCTTACGTTATACAATAAAACAAAACACGCGTTTCAAACGCACAGCTCAAACGAGACATGGTTTAGGTAGGAAATGAAAAAACGACCGCAGTGACTCACGCTCAATTAATTTGTAATAAAGCCTAGTGATAAACAATAAAACCCCTTTAGTATTATTGATAAAAAAACCTTTAACGGTTCGTTATAAGCCAATGAAATAATTTGTGATACATTATTATTACTGTCATCTTTAGACATGCTAGTATTACGTCAAATAAAAACAAATATTTTATTATTATTATGGCGGACTAGTTATATAGTCGATTAGGTAATTTCTCCAATAATAGATCGATGTACTTACACGTCATATTCGTTGTTTCATTTGAAGATTTTTTTCAAGACCGATGGGTTATATTCGATTATTCCATTAATTTAATTTTAACCGATAACGAATGGACAGATAACAGAAAAAAACAAATGATTTAAAAAATTAAAACACATCCGATCACCAAACTGTTTTTACTCTTTGATATTATTTTATAATATATGATATTATTGTCCGTTTACAGATAAGATAATTTCCAACGTTATACATATTGTATTATTATTATCGTCATCATGAGTTTACACACTCTAGCTGAGACACATTTTTTCTCGTTCCTGTATTCTTATGGGATGTATAGAAAATAAACATGTCGGAGGTTCGCAGAATCCGTAGGCTGACGGACAGCGTAGGTATTCTGCAGATAATGGAATATGAAACCGCACCGGTAACTACGGCGGCATAACTAAAACAATCAACCCCTCTCCCCTCTCCCCCTACCACCGACAACCCAGATTCCATTAGCCGTGTATTATTATAACAATTTATCGATTGCACTCCGTCCCGATGCACATGACCATTCAATTAGATGCTAGTTAGTACGTTTACCATTATTGTTATTATTTTACCTTTAACCCACAACCAATACCCCACATATTATTATGAAAGCTAACCAGTAATCTAATCATAGTATAGAGAACGAACGAATTATCATTACTTTACTCGACAATAACGACTCTAATTTATCGGTACTTACAGAGTCTGCCGAAACTATGACTAAGACGTTTTTTAATTTTCTGCACTTTGCTGAGTGCACCACTCTTCTTTTCTCTCATGGTAACTTCTGAAACAAAACAATTAAACCGCCATTAATGCACACAATAATATTATATGAACGCGACATGAGCAAAAAAAAAATCTGAAAGTTGAAACGCTGTACAAACGTAATGACTATTAATATTTAACTTTTAAAGCACATACAATTTGTTTAAAACGACCGGTAACGTTATACAAACTAATCGCGTTTCATGAAACAACGATGTATATTGTATACATCTTTAGTTTTGATGTTTATTTATTTATTTTTTGCAAATAAAAAACTATTGCGATTAAAAAAGTACAAACTCGCGTGCGGTCTTGTCACGCTTAAAACAACAATACTAGTAAATTCACCTGATTTGGCGTTTCGTTCGAAAACACCAAAATAAACGACCGGCGTAGCAATTTTTAAGTAATGTTTATCATTCCTGAGAAAATCAACACATTAGACACGTTATATTTATACTTCGTAAAAATGCAATCTATTCACTCGAGTAAAAACACGAAATATATTTTACGTTTATAATTTGTATTATTATTAACATACGGTAAAAAAAAAACAATGAAAAAGTAATATCCCAAATGCAATATTTTTTAAATATTATTATGATTATGATTTACATACTAATATTAAAAATATATTTTTTAACACAACTACACGGAACGCGGCACGACAACAACAGACCCAGCGGGCATCGGGTCACGAGAACCACTAACCAAATCCAGTAGCAACTGGCGAGCGATGTCAGCTCAGAGCCGCCAGTGTCGCCGTTCACCAGAGTGCAATAATATCGCGTTCATCCGCATAACATTACTGTAATAATTCTATTCACACTATCCACTGATATAATCGAAACCGTCAGTATAACTAATATTAATGATAGGTATTACTAATATCAATAACACTAGTCAATTGACGGTATATTCTAGGCGTTGAATTAACATTGTAATTATTTTTTGTACAACAATAATTAATCCCCATAGACCATTTTCTAAAAAATTCAGAATTCTGCGTGCACTTTATTGTCATATGGAAACATACATATTTATTATATAATTATCATAAATTCGATCAGAGTAGGTACCTACGCATCTTTTGTAGTATAATTTGTATACCAGTAAACAAATTCAGCTAAACGACTGTTAATGATAACAAAAGCCAAGACTTATCTACAGACTGTACGGTAATTAAGCAAAAACATACTATAAGAATTATTTTCAAATTACCACATCACAATACCCTATCGATTTTCCAACAGCGTTAAACGTCAAGCTAAATAACATTGGTCATTTCAAACATCAAGTTTGTAAATATGTGTCACACTTCCGTGACAACATACATAAGCCACGTATGGGGTCTCTTTTTGCTTACAACACAATACAGAGGGATATAATAATAATAATATAAGCTTCCCCTTAACACATAAATCTGAATGCCGATCTTACGTTAACCACGCTTGACAACGAAATCCTTATCAAAATCAAAAAAGGGGACATGGATAGGGGTCTCGTTTACTCATTCATTCACTACCGCTCTCTCCCTCACACTATCACTGCCTACACTATCCAAAACAATATTCAACATCTGGCGTATAAAGGGTCATTGCGACATCATCTACATCGTTCACGAACCCCCTCCTTCCGCTCTATCTAAAGTGGTCGTAATTAATTGTAATAATAATAATTGTTATTATTATAAGGGCCGGCAGCGACACACCCAACCCACACAGCATCGTCCCCTATATACTGGACAACAATACTGTATAATTTAGGTTGAACGCCTGGAGTTTGGACTCTAACCGATCGACACCCGACTGAGAACCCTGCACTCCATAGGAATTCCGAATGACGTTCATACAATATGGGATTAGTCAACAAATCGAATGTGTCTAACTATGGCTTCTTTTAATCAAATCCAAACACTGCTATATAATGTTTCTAAGTACAGTTGATCCGCGTTTGGTCGTATTAAAGTATCAAAATATCCGTTTTATTATTAGTATTATCGCATCAACGGCGTACTTGTAAACAATACGTATAAAGCTGGCTAAAAATTACAATTTTTTCTTAAAAAAAAAATAAAGGTTAAGAACATACCTTTTAATAATAATTTATACATAATATAATTTCTTTCTATTTTACTTTTATAAAAACTATTTTCAGTATAAGGTAAAAAAAACTGCGTAACCCAAAATATTACAGTTAATTTTGAAAAATAAAATGTAGTGTTAAAAAACCATTTTCCCGTTTGGAAATTAAGGACCTCACTTAAAACATTTTTCTGTTTATTTGCTATTTTTCATTTAGCGTTTTCCTAATAAATATATGACTTACAATAAAAGTTCCAATGAATTTTAAAGTAGCATTCGTTCGTTCTCAAAAATTAATTCCTAATTTAAATTCAAACTCTTGCCGTTGTCTTGCAAAATAAAAACAGTCGAATATAGCAGCATCAATTTTGTTTCAGAAGAAACCACACACAGGGGACTATCCGCCAAGGATTTCCCTAACGCTGTGTATATGCTATACCAAGGGATTAATTATTCAGAACTCTCGCCAATGAAACAAACGAGCCAATCGCACGGTATTGTTAAATTCAAATTGAAAACTTTCTTCCTTACAATAATAGGTAATGCTTATCGTGAGAAGGTTTCCGGCACGCTAGGGTTATGTTGTCTTTGTTTGAAATGTTACACTTTTTGTTCGTCCAATCAAGCAACTTCCATACATACAAAAACAATTACTATTTACTACACCGCTAGTACCGAGGGGGAATAAGCATTGGGATTCAGTTACCTAGAAAATGTCCCAACACATTATTGTCCACCAGCGAGGCGGTCAACTCTCCAAATTCAATTACGGCTCGTTCAAAAACGGTTACGGACAAATGGTGAACCGCGACGGATCCACCCTTGCGAAGTTTGATTTTAATAGCAACGAGTGCATAATGTCGTAGGAGTTCCTCGAGGGCGTAAGTTCAGTGAATCCTTCAAAATGTTACACATTTCCCGTAGAATTGAGTAACATTTTCAAATATACTGCATAGAGTCGTTGAATAATCAGATAAACATATCCATAGGCGGCAGGGGCTAGGTGCGAGAAGGTGCGCAAAAAAAAGTCCTTTCAAAAATTGTATTTCCTCGTACAAAATAAAAGCACACAAAAATGGCTGGGGAGTCAAATTGTATTTATTACAAACATTTTTTGAGAACTATTTGAATATTAAAGAGGATATCCTTTGGTCGATTGGACATGTGTAATGCCTTTGTAGCACATAATACTTAATACATACTTCTGATTCTAGACCGCCGAATGCAATGCCAATACGTTTACAATAGAGAGTAATATTTTATGCAAATAGTGTGTAAAACAAATGTATAAAATATTAATTTATTTTTTATTTTTACGATTAATATTAGAGATAATAGACTATGCGCCATACACATCCTGCCTATGATTGGCGGATACTAAGAAAAAAATATAGATTACAGAGGGAATTACAGCTTATCAAAATATGAAAAATTGTATTAGCTTTTCATTTTATAATTATAACTTTTTAAAATACAAATAGCGGCAGTAAAACTATAAAAATCTAAAATTAAATTTCCATAAAAAACAATTTTGACTAAAATATGTAATTTGTATTTTTGGTCAAATGCTAATATTTGCTGGGTTTAAACTGGGGGTCAAAATAGTTACGAAACTGGATAGTCTAAAACGAAAACTGAAAATGTTATATGCATATGACACACAATGTAGCATAAAATTACGCATGCAGCATAAATCGTATCATTAGGTGCACCTCTTAATCATTACTTAAAAAATGGCTATTTATTCGTGTGTCACTACTAGTTAATTATACCATGTTAAGCGATGTGAATTGGCAATTCATTAACAACATTAAACGGAACCCTAGTTTACAGAGCATAAGTCAATTTCCCACCAAAAGAGGAAATTACACGACAAGAGACACCGGTCTAGTGTCGTGTGCTGTTATTTAAACCGAGGTTAATTAAACCTACTATTCATTTGCATAATCAAACTGACGATACACGCATATTTATAAACTACACATAATTATGAATGTACTAACCACCAGTAAAACAAACGTGAACAATACTTAAAACTTGGTTTTATTTTTTAAACATCGCCTAAATATATTATATACAGCAATGGGCAAAACGTGTAAGGTTTCGTCGCAGTCACGTGAAAATTATTGTTCATTGCAAGAAACGTTCACGTTTTCCTTGGCCTTGAATGTAAAACTTGAGTGTAATAATTGTACAGTACAAACTTCAACTTAAAAAAATGTTTCACTAGTTTTCAAAGTAACGAATTCAATAAATCAAAATGCAAAAATAACATGTTAGGTATAACAGGGTATTATAGTATACTGCATTTATCAAAAAGAAAAAGGTTAATGAAATTAAGCTAGAATAAAAGTTTTGAGTAATGAAAAATGTCTCTTATAATCTATTTAATAAAACTGATTTCAAAATCAAAAATCAAATTATCTTCTTTATTGGTTTGTTTATCAAACCTAATAAAAAAATGAATAGATATGCTATAAAGTATTTAATTAAAAAAAAAAAGAATAAAATCACTTACAAATACTTATGATATAATCGTTTTACTATTATACAATATATATAGTTTAACACAAAATCCATAGCACATAAACAAAACTTAGTGAAGCGAGGTTCGCTTGCCATAGTTTCTTATTGGTCAAAATAAACGGTAACAATACGGTGCTAAGTAATAGAAAAGGTCGACTTTTACAATTTAAGTTTTTTTTATTTAGGCCCCAAAAATGTAATAACGTCTAATTGTTTCTTCTAAATTATTACACGTAATCATTTCGAGAGTCCTAAGCAATAAAATACGATATTATTAGAATCAAGGTCATTGTGATGCTCCGACCATGGTAGAAGGTATTTCATTCCACGACTGGAATATACCGTTAAGGAGCAAGGAAACAATATTCTGTTCGCAAAAGCTCGGTGAAAGGGGGAGATCTCTCTTCTAGAATAAAAAGGGCGCAATAAATTACTGTTCGCACCCTTGAGAGGCAATCGACCATAATGTATGCGTTTATCCAGAAGCTCAGCAGGAGGTCCTCAGACGTGTAATAATTATTTTTGAATGTAAATTATCAACAGGGACTTGAAAAACTCTTCATATTCGAGCTTGAGGGTTTATTAAAATGGAATCGAACTCAACATGCCATACATTAGTTTGGATCAAACGGGTCTAATGATTTAATTTAAAAGGTTTCATTAATAATTTTATGTAAGGCCTTTATCACATCTAGAACATACTTAAATATACAGCATACAAACGAAGCTGTTTAAAAGGCTATTAACTTCAAAAATAACTAACAACAAATACCCAACCAAACAGCAGTGGGTAGTAAAATAACAATTAACATAGTAATAGCACGGGTACCATATCATTTTATATGATTAATAATAATAAACATTAATAAGTTTATCGCCATATTTACAATAAAAACTAAATGCTACCAATATATATATATATAATTTTGCAATTATGATTAATGTTTGAATTTCGAGATCTATAGTTAAAGTACGCGTGTTAAAATAACAATAAAAACAGTACTGAAATAATTTTTAAAAAAATGCACAATAGATACAAAATAAAAAAGGAACTTAATATAATATTTACGTTTTCAACGAAAA